TGGTTTTCGGTCAAATTGGCTGAAATTTCACTATGTTATAGTTTTCGCCATGATAAAAAGTTATCATTGCACCAAATCCCAAAAGTCAATATTTAAGATATAAAGGGTCAAAGTAGTGAAATATGGTCATCCGCAGTAGTAAGAGTAAGTTTTCAAAAAACTTTCAGAAAGGTTTCAGAAACATTGAACCTTTCTGAGATCTTCCTGAAATCTTTCTGAAAGCTTTTTGAAATTTCTGTGCTGTGTGGGGTATGTTATAAGTATAAGTGATACATTGATATTTATTCACGAAATAAATAAAAATCGATTTTTACACATATATATGTAATAAATATTTAGTTCCGCAATATTTTTAAGATCTGAAACAGTTTTTTGTAAAACTTATATTTTTCGAGATATTTCACCGGTCCGATACTTTTGCCCCACCCTGTATATACATATACATATATATTGCGGAACTAAATATTTATTACATATATATATGTAAAAATCGATTTTTATTTATTTCGTGAATAAATATCAATATATCACTTATACTTATAACATACGTCTTATTACTGCGGATGACCATATTTCACTACTTTGATATCTTACCTTTATATCTTGGGAAATATTGACTTTTGGGACTTGGTGCAATGATAACTTTTTATCAGAATGGCGAAAACTATAACATAGTGAAATTTCAGTCAATTTGACTGAAACCCATTTGACCGAAAACCATTTTCCATAGGTTTTGTGCGGGTTTCTTTCATCAAATTCTTGTGAAATCCGTTTCATAATACAACTACCTTAAACAATGTGGTCTATAGTGAGACTTACATAGAATGGCTTTCACTTAACACGTTCATCACCAGCGTCACACATATACGACGCACCGATCTCTCACCTTAAGTTCATCTCCACTCAAGATTTTCAATTTTACTTAACACGTTCGTTACCAACATTACATATGCATAACGACGACGTTCTTCTTTGTATATCCGCCTATACAGGGTGTCTCACATTCTCCTCCGGGCATTTTATGGGAACGTAGAACAGGTTGAGGGGAACATAAAAGTCCTATACCGTTTTGCGATATTCGCAATAATTATCGAGATATTAATTGTAGAAAATTTGTAAATGAAGAATATGATAAATAAGTTATAATAGCCGTCGTATACTTATACTTTAGGTCAAATTGAACAAAAAAGTCCTCTACCATTTTGCAAATAATCACATAGATTTTTAATTATTAATTAAAGAAGATGAGTGTATTATCACGCAAAATCGTGCAATAATCTTCTTTAATGAATGAAAATAGTACAGAACTTTTTTGTTCAATTTAACCTAAAGTATAAATACACGACGGCAGTCGTCGCTACTGTAACTCATTTACCATATTCTACATGATCATTTACAAGTTTTCTACAATTAATATCTCGATAATTATTGCGAATATCGCAAAACGATGCAGGACTTTTATATTCACCTCAACCTGTTCTACGTCCCCACAAAATGCCCAGAGGAGAGTGAGACACCCTGTATATAAGCCGAGTCTGTTCCACACAATTATATAGAAATAAATGTAATGTCTGCGATGAGAATAAATCGTAGTGGCGAATGTGCTAAAGTTGGCATCTTGCTAACAGAACCGGCCATTACAAAGAAAAGGAAGAAGAAGAAAAAGAAGAAGGACAAGCTTGTCGGCGTTCTCGCGATTGTTCCCTTCATCTTCTTGTTCTTTGCATTCCAGCGAGCGCGATAATCGCGAAGAGGTGCGAATTCCTAGCGCGACGGGAGGATCACACGCGTCTCGGCTAATTACCCGCGCGTTGCCCGTCTCGACCGCGAGCGCATTGCGGCGCAGCCGAGTGTGGCGCGCGGCAGCGTGTCCCGCGCTCCGGGTAATTAAATAACGGTCGATGCTAATTTGTCGCTGAGACTTCCGCGCGCGGCGTCTTCCAGAAGGCGACAGGAACGAGCGGAGCGTCTCCTTCCCCCCGGAGCGCGAAGAAGAAGGCGCAAAGGGCCGCCGCTATACTCCACTTTGCGCCCTTGTTCTCGCGCCATGCAGCCCACCCCGAGGGGCGCAACCCCTTTCCAGCGACGCGCCAAATGCACCGAATGCACCCCGCGGCTCGTTAATACGCAAAAACGTCGCCGGCGCTCGCTGGGACCACCACGTGTTGAGAACCCCCCATCGTCATGGCAACCCCCGACCTCGCAGACGACCGGCATCGCCCCGTTGGTCCAGGAACGTACCCCCGTACGCTCCCGCCTTCCCACCCTCCAGCCGCCCTTGCCATTGTCATCTCTAGTTTAACCGATAAGCACTCACGTCGGGTCAATTTGATTTTTCCGCGTCTTTCACTTCTCTTCCTTTTCATATACATGTACAGAAAGAAAAATGGAACCGGCTTACGCAGTCTGGTGTTTCAGAATGAAGGCGCCTGAAATAAAGGTATAACGAACTTTGCCTTGTATTTCGCTTTTGGATATTACAACCTTTTGTGCATGCAAATTCTCTCTGCGTATTGCAGTTCTACTGTGCAGAATTTCTCATATATTTGGTCAGTTTGATTGCAATGTGTTCCTTCGCGATGGTGGCATCGGGATTTGACAAGCGGACTATACCACTCGTAGACCACTGAACGGTTAACATAACCTTCCCTTGATGCAATTTTGGTTTTGGGAAATGGTTGAATGATTCATGACCATCGAGCCATTGTGCCGAGCGCGTTTACGGATATCGTACAATATCCATTTCTCGTCACACGTCACAATGTGATTGAAAAATGGGTCGTTGTTATTGCGTGAAAACACCTCATAGTGACGCTCCTTTTTTTTATTTTTGTTCAATTCGTGCGTCTAATCCACTTATCAAGCTTTTTCATCTCCCCAATTTGTTTCAAGTGTACCAAAATTGTCGGAACCGTAGTTCCGAATTCCTTGGATAATTTCTGCATAATTACACGTGAACTTGTTTCAACAATTGTCTTCAATTTTTGCTTATAAATAGTAACAACTTTGTCATCACATCATCATAAACACTTCATAAATGCTGACTTCTTTACATTTTTTTTGAAGATAAATATATTCTACCAGAGAATAGAGGAGTCGGGGCTAGATGTCACATTCTTCAGAATCTCGAAGTTTCAACTTCTCGCGCAACTAATTGTTACGATTGACTGTATAAATATGATAGGGGCAACTTTCTTTTATGATTTGATGTTCTCAACAATTCTATAAACTATATAATTTCTATTATAATAACTAAATTACGAACATGCTGCATCTTCTTATCCTAGTATTGGGTCAAGCTAGCTAACAACTTGGAGGTAAGAAAGCCACATATAAATTATAAGGCCTGATTATAGATTTACTTTCGAGATTTCCGCAAGAGGTCTCCACAGCTTTGCCGGTCTTTAAATAGTGACCAACTTTAGTTCATTCGTCTACATGCTCGATTTCGAATCATTTTATGAATGAAAAACCTTTTTATTACCTATAATTGTATACACTTGCAGGAAACTAACTGATAACATGGTATTTAAGTTTATTCATTCATGGTGAAGAATATTAATACCAAATTTCGAGGAAATGCACTTAGCTGCTTGTAAATCAATTTTTCAATGTTTTAAATATTATTCCGATTTTAATGAAACTCACAGAAAAACATCTATATTCTAAAAGAAACATTTTGCGATTTCGTTTCCGCTGTTACTCTTACGATAAATATATAAACGAAACACATAGCCGACATACCTCCTGGAACAATTATACCCGGTCTCCCTTATTGTACATTCGAGGACACAACGTTATGTTTCAGTTGGAACTCGTGCAACGAAATAATGCACGAGTCCCTTTTCACTAAAGTATTCTTGAACTACCAAGAAATAATAGAAACAACAAGTGCGTGAATTAAATTAGCATGAAGAAAACAAGTGAGGTATCAGTTTTAAAGCCTGATAATCTATAATATGCTCTTTGCATTGTCTTTCTTGTCTTCTATCTTTCTCTGGTTTAAAGCTTAAGGTTTGAGTCAGGAAGAGATAAAGAAAAAGAAGCAAAGAGCACATTGTAGATCAGGCTTAAAAGCAAATGAAAGTACTTCATAAGAAACAATTCGAAAACCACAAGTCAGATCGGCTATTGATTTCCGGGAAGTCTAATAATCTGTTGTACAACTGAAAAGTAATTTAATCAACGTAGGAGAAGCGAGCCAACCGGAGTAAAACCGCGTGGGTGTCAGTGCGTAATTTCAATCAAAACTCTCAAGAGAATCAAGTCCAGACCAGTGTGCGCGATCTCTGCTCGCCGAACTTCTGAATTTTCCCTCGACAATTTTCCCGTCCTCCCTAATAACCCGAGCTCTCTCGCCGTCGACACATAACGAGTGTCGCGCGAAGAGGAGTGAAAGGGGGAGAGGGGGGAAGGGAAAGAGCCACGAGGGCGGCTTTATCCGTCGGTTCTTGGGGAGCGCAAAGAAACGCGCGTGCGCGCGTCCACGTCCACGCGACTTCCGAGCTTTCGGGTTAAATTAGGTGGAAGAAGCAGCGTTTCCATCCGCTCAGATCCGCTGCGGGGTCTCCGTCCACCCCGTTGTCGCACGGTCGACAACCGATAAGAAAGCAAGATCGTCGTTCTCGCCCGCCAAGCCGGAGCGATTTCGCGCGCGACGACCCAGTTGCAGCTGCGATCGCAGTCGCGGCGGTTGCAGCAGGTCGCGACGATTGATCGCATGCACCGGCCGGGCCGGCCCCGGCCGCTTGCCTGGCGGGCCGATGCGTTATCGGGGCGCGTGTGGGCGCCTTCTCGCGTGGGAAAACCAGCGGCGTGCCACATTTGCGTAACGGCGGCCGCGCCGCGTCGTAAACCCGTCGTAAAACCCGGCCGATCTAATTGACGAGGGACGGGCGAGGGTAATTTTTTGTCCTCCCCTCCCGGCTCCCGAGTCGCGCGCGCTCACGGCGGCATGCAATTTTTATTAACCCTCCCCCCCTCCCCTTCTCGTGTTGCAGGAGCGATGTCTTCCTGGAACCGTACCTGCAGCAGCACGGAACCGTTCAGGTCGTCAGCTCGCCGAGCACGCCGCCGCCGAATCCGCTGCAGCACCGTCAACTTGCGCAGCTACATCATGTACAGGTGGGTTACTCGCGCCTCGACTCGCGCTGACTGCGGACAGAGGGAAAAGTGTGGTGGAGAGAGAACGATACGTATGTTATGGCCAAAGTCCGTAGCGCGGGATCTCCCAGGATTGACTGGTCAATGTGCGGAACAGCCAAGCGTTTTGGTCAAAGCCCGAAATTGTTCTCCATCTCGACTTTTGAGTGGTGTGTTTGCAATCAATTCTAGGGATGACTGACATGGTCAAAGTTAGAAACTAGAAAATATGAATGTGTAATAATAAGAAAAAGAAAGCAGAAAATATATATTCGGTGGGGATGGAGGCACCCCACCTCGCTAAAAATTTAACCTGACCCTACTCTTTTAAAGTAAATTAGTGAAACATCATTGAGAGCAGTGAATATACACTGATTTGCAGTTATAAGTATAGCACTGAAACTGCTCAGATATCAGTGACTATTCATTGATTCACTTTAAGAGAGTACAGTATTGTGACAATGTTAGTTGTTAAAAAATGTATTAGATGTACAAAAATTAATTTGTGACCCTTACAATTACTCGACTATAACTTCATTCTAAATTCATTCTAACTTCATTCTAAATTCAAATCTTTCATCTGCCGCATTGTTTTCAGAATACCAACTCTTAAAATGCAAAAACATCATATAACTGGATGTTGCGGACGACATAACTTTACAAAGCAGTAATGAACACGACATCGCCCGATAAGCAGCATATCAGACACTGCATTCTTTCTGCATTTCAACTGAAAAAATGTTCTTGAGACCAAAAAAATGATTTGTTCTGCTTTAAAGAAAAATGTAATGGCTTACGGTACATATAAAAAGTAATATCAAAAGTTTCGAAATGATAATTTCATTCTTTTCGAACAAGAAGATCTTGGAGCACTAGAAAAAAATCGAAAACAAGGAATTGAATCAGCTGTTGCAAGAAAATCTTTGTCAAACACAACTTGGAGTTTGCAGAATAACTTGGTGTGACCCAACAAACTCCAATCGATTTCTAAAAAAAGCCACGAATTAATTTGTACACCTACCTAATACATTTATGCACGTACATTTTAACAACCAACATTCTCACAACGCTGTAGGGTAAGGTTTGGTTAGATTTTTTGCGGAGTGGAAGTGAAGCTATATATAAAATATGTTATAGTGGCTTCAGGTAACGATACGTCGCTTAAGGCTCCTTATACCTCGCCGCGGGTTGAATTTGTGACGTCAGAAGCGAGGAACGACATATTGACGAAAGTTACGTGCTATTTCTAAATAAAGATAAATATGGACGAAATAGCACTTGGAACTGTTTGAGCATACTTGTAAAATTGTCCAAAAGATATCCCTTTCCCTTGACGATTATAATCGTATAACAAATAGTGAAATAAATGCAGACAAAACAGACTTATTTCATCATTTCATCATTTATTATACGATTATTTCTTGACCATTAAGAGAAATGAATACCTTTCGGACAATTTTACAAGTGTACTCAAGCAATCTCAAATGCTCTTTCGCTTATATTTATTTTTATTCAGAAATGACACGCAACTTTCATCAGCATGTCATCCCTCGCTTCTGACGTCATAAATCCAATATAGCCGACAAGAAGTCTTAGCCTTAACCTTGTCCACTTTCAATGGAGAATATTGATACAAAATTGCAAGAAACTCAAAAACTTACTTTAATACTATAGAAATAGTTTTTTCTACTTTTGAATATTTTACCAATTTTACAATGAAATTCCGAAAAGTACACCGAAAAAAAAGCTCTACTACATATGGACAACTAAACATAATTTGCTGTATTAGCCACTTTTTCTTTGCTGCAGGAGCCAATTTCCATGCTATAATAACAAGAAAATCTGCTCCTGCAACAAAAAAGCTAAAGCAGTAAATTATATATTATATATTTAGTTGTCCATCTGTAGCAAATTTGCTACGTTAGCCACTTTTCTTGCTGTAGGAGCAGATTTTCTTGTTATCATAGTAAGAAAATAGGTTCCTGCAGCAAGGAAAAAGTAGCTAACACAGCGAATTATATTTAACTGTCCATATGTAGCAAATTAGTTTGCTGCTGTAGCAAATTATTTTTTTTCCGTGTATCCACTGTTCCTCTCAAGGTAAATACTAAAAAAGCACATGAGCGACATACGCCTGGGGTCATCTAGACTTGCTTACTCATGAAATACTTGAAACGAGTAACATGTACAACGCAGTGTTTATTTTTCTGTGTATAAGTTAATAATGAAACAAACGATCGCGTAACCGACTGCGTAACGTCGTTTGCTCACATAACGACCCGCGACTGTAATGATCACACGTGCGCGTGCGCGTACACACACAAACACTCAAAACACAGACACACATACAGAGCCTGCAGCAATAGCAGAATGTTGCTGCATTCGCTAATGATCACTCGCGAATCGCCTCGCGGACGGAAATAGACCGTTGGACTAATTGATAACATTTGCATGCATACGGCACGTAACTGCGCGCGCCACCACAACGAAATATTGAGTTTAATTAAGCGTTACTGTAACGCGCAATTTAAATCCACGCGACCAACGGGGCTATATTAAATTTTGCGATGTCGCCCGCCCGCCGTCACCCGCTCTCCAACGTGAAAGTTTTTGTTTCTAGAATTGCACAGCGCCGCGCGGCATACAAACACACGCACGGCAACATAATAACGCAACGTGAAAGGTCGGTTTTGTTCGCCGGCTCAAAGGGGAAACTGTAATTTGCGCGCGAGCGCGCGTTTATAAAAACACCAAAAAATACGAACTTCAACGTCCGGCCTGGCGGGGAAATCCGTGTATCGCTTGATTTCGTTATTCGCCGGTTTCCCTAGGATTCCTCGTCCCGTTGCGGCTTCACGCCGTTTTGCGCGCTTTTCGCCCGCGTTTCCCGGCCTGATCGAACCCCGGCGCGATTTATCTTCGAACGCGACGCGTTTTCAATTTTAACGACAGCGCCGATTAGCGCGCTCGTACTTAATTGCATCGCCGCCGGGCGAAGGACGTAATTGTTTTCGTTTTCTCATGCGCGACGACACAATCGCGTTGCCGATTCCCCTCTCCTCTCCTCTCCTCTCCTCTCCTCTCCTCTCGTCTCCTCAGCTCGGTGTGCGATGCAATGTTCGCGACGCCGCGCGATTCACTTTGCATTCAGAACGAGCGCGTCGACGTCTCACGACGCGGTCGACTTTTTCTGACGAGCAATTAAGGGATTTGCAATTAGCTCATCGCTCCTTCTCACTCTCCCACTCTGTCTCGAATAGACGGAGGAGTGAGTGTTCAGCACGCGACGCACGTCCGCGTTTAATCCCTTTAGCCGGAAACGCCGGCGTGTGTCAGTCTGCATTTCAAATTAAATTACACTCGAACCCCTTTGCTCCGATGCCGCTCCCCTCCCCTGCCTCCCCACCTTCACCCTTTAACCGGCCCCGACCCCTTCGTACTTTCCGTTCCACTTCGTCCGTCATCGATCTCTCTTCTTGGCTCTTTTCATCGATATAGGACACGATAAAAAGGAAAGAGAGGAAGAGGTCTCGCGTCCAGCTGAGATTAAAAACCCCGTCTCGTTTGATTGGTGTCGATTGGGAAGATCGAGGGATCGAGTTGAGTTCTTCGCCGAATACTTCATCTCTTCCTCACAATGTAGCTTCTCCCCTGAGGCGAGGCACGCTCGATTATCGCTTTCTCTAGCACTTCTCTACGTCGGAAAAGAGAGATGGGGGCGAAGAAAAGAGAGAGGGAGAGAGAGAGTGGAAGAGAAGGGTGGGTGGGATCGGTGGGGAGCGATAAATAAATCGCGCTACCGGGGCATCGGCTCTGCAAATTGAGATAACCGGGCGCGAGTCGACCAGCCGGTAGTATAATGCGGAATTAGGGGTTGCATTGTGCCGCGTAGCCCAAGGGGGGGATTCACGCCCCGCGGCTTAAGAGACTGAGATTTCCGTATATTCGCGACACCGGCAAATTGCTGAAAATCCGAGCGATTCACGATAAAACGGCCGTAACAACGGCGAGTCGAGGGCGAAAACGAGCCGTTCGACGTTCTCAGAGTCCCGGATAGGACTTTCGATCCCGCGGGGGATGTTCCGGCAAATTGTCCTTCATCCAAATAATCTCCATCTCGTGTCGAGACAAAGAAACGGATAAAATGAAAAATTTTTTCAAGTCGATGTTTTAAGATGAAACAAGTACATTTATTACACTAAAAAAAAAGAATTGCTGTCATTACCAATTTTTATAACAATTTTCTGCCGTGATGATTCACATTTTTGAGGCAACGAATCGGTAGATTAGCGCAACCAAGAATTGATTGTTGAAGCCAGAAAGAAAAGTTTTGACATATTTTACTATTTTTCTGGTTGACACCATTCCTTGTTTTTCCGTGTAAAATCAGATAAAATAAGATAAATTTGTTTGACATATTTTTAGTATACATTGAAAAAAATGAATGAAAAAATGTTATTTATTTTTAGTTATTTAGAATTTATTAAAATTGAGTTATTAGATATTTATTGAAGTAATTTCAAAGAAATAAACACATTTACTGAAGCTAAGATGAAACACAAAAAGATAAGGCTGTCAAATGTATTTGTTGTATACGTTGAAAAGAAAATGTAGAAGGAAATGTTATTTATTAGAGTTAATCTTTCAGTTTCTTTTCATTAGTTTATTAAAATTCGATTGTATGTTGGATACTTATTGAGATACTTCAAAAAAATAAACACACTTAGTGATAAGATAAGAACAAAATTTTAAAAAGAAAATAAAACAAAGTTAATTTGTTAGACGTATTTGTCATATACATTTTTAAAAAATGAGAGAAAAATTATTATTTATTAAAGTTACTTTTTTAGAGTTTGTTTATTAGTTTATCAGAATTGTGTTGTGAGATATTTATTACTTTGAAGAAATAAACACATTTGTTGAGAAGCTAAAAGATAAAATAATACAAGATAAATTCGTTAGATATATATTTGTCACATATATTGAAAAAAAAATGGAAGAAAAATTCATTATTTATTAAAATTAATTTTTAGAATTTGTTTATTAGTTTCTTATTGGTTTGTTAGATACTTTTATCGAGATACTTTAAAGAAATAAACACATTTATTGAAGCTAAGATAAAATAAAACGAGTACATTCGTGAAATATATTTATCACATATACACTGAAAAAAAATGAAATAAAATCAAATAGAAAACGTTATTAATTAGAGTTTATTTTTTAGGGCTAATTTATTAGTTTATTAGTTTAGTTAAACAATAATTTTTTGAAAGAGAGAATAGAAAAGACAGTTAATTGACAAACTTCAATATTTGTGCTCACCAGCGATATCTTTCTTTCTTCTTGCAGAGCGAAGAATCGCTTTCGTCGGAGGGATCGGCCACCTCGGGAGGATCTTCAGCGTCTACAGAAGATTCTGGCAGCGAGGTGGCCTGCGATATTACGCTGATCGAGAGGCTCATCCGCTCTCACCCGATCTGGTTCCTTCCAGGCATCCAGAGGGCCGGCGCTTTTCACTTGTTGCAGGGCAAGGAAGAAGGGGTAAGAAAATATACTTAGAGATCGTGTATTGGTAGAAAAGTAATTCTCAACTAATCTTCCTGTTGCGCGTCCGCTGGAAGAAGATCACGATGAGATTTATCTCTTTTTCCCTTAAATTACTTTACTTTTATCGTGATTTCTATCATAAGCTGTTGTAAACCCAAGGAAAGGAGCATCGTCGCAAACCTTGTCGATTTATATAAATCACAAGCAGTGACATAAGACAGCCAATAGAATCATCAAATATTGAAGGCTGTTCAATAGAACCGATTTATTGTTCTTCTTATCCTGTTTTCGGAGTGTCCTTGATTCCACTAAAATGGGTTCTGTCTCTCGATATCGAAGAGAATGTTTTCGTTATCATTTACTATCACATATTTCAAAACTTTTTCATAACAATTAATTGTAAACAATAAATAAAGATAACACAACACTAACATCTGCACGAAGCATCACCAATATATTTGGAGCTTTCTTGTCTTTTTGAAAGGATTGTAAAGGAAATCAGTTGGCTCAAGAAATATGTGAAGTTTGTGCACTTTGTTTATATATTTATCCTGAAAACAAAAGGATCTTTTCCTTAAAAAACTGAAAGGAACATCATAAATGAATCAAAATTATACATATGTACAGATATAAATTTGAATTAATTTGTAAATTAATTCAAATTTACATTAATTAATTTGACATATAATAGAACTTTATATTATAGAACATATATAAAATTGTTATATAAAATTATTATAAAGAAATATAAAATTATGATATAGAGAAATTTATATTAGTTAATTTGATATATAATATACTAAAAGAAAGAAAATCTAAAACATAAAAAATATTTATTCAGTGAGTACTAATAATATCTTATACTAGCAATATTTTATTTTATTTAAATGAAAGAACTTAGATTTAAGTAAATATATTCTATAGAATCTCCACCGAATAAACGTTTCATATTTTTTGGATATTTCTCCTCTCAATGTAGAAACACTTCTTATGTAAATCTGTGACAGCTTTAGAGAATTATTGCGACGAGCGATTAGAACTATTGACATAAATATTATCATATATATGTAACGAGTTTTTAAGAAAAAACGCGCCTTTCGCCGTAAAGACTCCTGGCCCCTCACATTGTTTATCTGTTTTTAATGACGTCAGAAGCGAGAAAATGCATGCTAAAAATTCTTGTAAAATACATTGAAATAAAAATATATATCCATAAAGTAAAACTTGCAATCGATTAAACAAATTTGTACGATATTCCGTGTACTCTCCTTTTGCTCTAACAATCAATAATTTATTGTTAATTAATCTGAATAGAAATAGGCGAAGAAATAGGTTAAGAAGATGAATTGCATGTCACGTTAATTTATGACAAATTATTGATTCTTAGAGCAAAAGAAGAGTGCACGGAATATCCTACAAATTTATTTAATCGATTGCAAGTGTTACTTTATGGATATATAGATTTTTATTTTAACGTATTTCACAAGAATTTTTAGCATACATTTTCTCGTTTCTGACATCATTAAAAGAGATAGACAATGCGAAGGACCAGAAGTCTTAATCTTCGAATCTATACATATTACTTGCGCGAGAAACGAGAATGATAGTCTTGATGATCGCGAAATACAAACCCCAGCGAGACTAATGAGACGATCGATTAAAACGCGACGGAGTAAAGACGTCCAGCACACATCTTTGCGTCTCCACATTTACTTTCCATTTCCCTTTTCTTTTTTCCTTTTTTTCTTTCAGTAACGCGTAATGGCGCGCGAAGTCTCCCTTCTGTAATCAGCGCGGAAATGACTGCGAGTGAGCGACCGAGGCATTGTTTCTCCCTAGGCGACTCATTGTTTTGCGCCTTTGTTGATCGTCGTCGGTTGCGCCTCGTCTCCCTGCCATTTCCACCCCCTCGCTGATGGACCCTTGTAGCCTTCTCCTCTCCTCCCTGCGGACAACGGGTTCGCGTCAGCGAACGGAAGAACGAAGGAATTACATCGCCAAAAAGCAATGCGGCTTGCAATTACTCGTCTATAGATCAGACACTCCCACACATCCGCCCCTCTTCGATCGGAACACCGGCCGCGTAATGACGAAGCGCGAATTCTCTCGTTGCCGAGAGCGTTTCCGGCCTCGACATCGGAAAAATCCGCATCGTTTGGAAATCGTTTCGAAAGGGTGGACTCATTGGTGGACAAGCAATGTCTGGAAACATCAAAATGACGAAGTTTTAACAAAACAAAACAATTAATTTTTAACAAATGCAAAAAGCTAACAAAGCAAACAAAGAATAAGGCAAATAAGAGCCAACTGCCGATCTTAATGACGAAAATCACAAATTAATATAAGCTTGTGATACATTTATTTAAGTACAAAAATTCAAACGTTTCGATCCCAGTTTCGGAACCTCTTCAGTGATAATTACAAAATATAATTTCGAAAATATAGTTACAAAAAGATTCGCATAAATCGCAATAGAAGAACTTGTAAACCACATTGATTGCGGTCTTTAATAAGAAAAATTTCAATAAAAATTACTATTTGTTGCCAAAGAAGCAATTTAAAAACTTATCTAACAGTTAAACTGCGAAACTCAAACGAACTTAGTGATACAAATAAAATAGGCACGTATATGAAGATCAGCAAAGCAGAGGAGAAACACATTAAATTGTTTCTTTGGCAACAAATAGTAATTTTTATTGAAATTTTTCTTATTAAAGACCGCAGTCAACCTGTTAGACTCAATATTACGTTTGCTTGACTTGGTTTGCTGTTGCATGATTTACAAGTTCTTCTGTTGCGATTTATGCGAATTTTTTTGTGACTATATTTTGGAATTGTCACTGAAGAGGGTCCGAAACTAGGACCAAAACGTCTGAATTTTTGTACTTAAATAAATGTATTACAAGCTTTTATTAATTTGTGATTTTCGCTATTAAGATCGGCAGTTGGCTCTTATTTGCCTTATTCTTTATTTACTTTGATAAAGTCTCAAGAACTTATAACTTTTGACAAAAAACTATGAAATTAATACAAGATTACTATTTGTTGCCAAAGAAGCAAAACTTAAACTTAATATCAAAACTTTACGAATGATCCACTCTGGGACAGTTGATCTGAAAAAAATGATAATTTTGGAAGTTGTGTTTACTGGAACTTTGTTGTTAAGGCTTCTAAGTATTCGCCGCGCCCATATTTGGTCGTGAATTAAAGTGACACGCCAACTTTCTTTTTAATTTACCTTTTTCTCATAATTTTGTTATTTTATATCTCTGCAAATTCTGTCTGATCGTTAAAATCTAATTTTATTCGGCTATTCATTGATTGTCAAGGGAAAAGATAGTTTTCGGAACATTTTACAAGTATGCCTAAGCAATCTCAAGTATTCATTTTTCTGGAAAGCCATAATCCCAAAATTCTGATGCACACAGAAAAATACATACTATTCAAGTAAATGTTAATTTATTATATACATTTGCTAAGACATAGAACGCAGAAAACGAATAAATTAAACACATAATTAGCCAATAAGAACTGAACTCTGATGTTGGAGTTAATATTCCGCTTTGGAAGGATAATAATGTTTGACAAAACGAATAACAATAAATCTTTCGATCTGCCGCAGAACTTCGTGGTGCGACAGTCGAGCCAGAGCGACACGATGGCGCTCTCGGTGAGACTGCCAGCCGGCAAGGGGCCCTACATCGAGCATTACCTGATCCAGGCGAACAAGGGGAAACTGAGCCTGGAGACCAGCGAGAACAGGTTCGACAACATACCCTCGCTGATCGCCCACTACTCTCAGTGCTGGTGAGTGGCCCCGTTTTCTTGCTCGCCCCTCGCCACTTTGCTCGCGACCACTCGCACCCATCAGTAGAGGGGTGAATCTATCTTGCGTCGAGCTAATTTAACTTCAGCATTGTAGGGTGAATCGTCAGCTGTCTATTATGAAGATAAGAAATCTCCTTAGTTCACCAGCGCATCTTTCAGCGATATCAAATTGACGCAAAGATTTCTCTACTTTGAGTTGTCAATCATTTTTATAGATAATAGCTAATTTTTATAGCTAATAGATAATTTTTATAGATTTATAGATAAATAGCATCGACTTCTCATAATTTTTATAGATTTATAGATAAATAGCATCATTTCTCAGCCATCTAACGAGCCTGATCTAATATTTAATATCCACACATTATTAACATTTAATATTTAACAAAATCAGAAATTAAGAACTAACCTTCTGTGCTAGTCTGCAAAAATAAGAATAAATACTAGAACAAAAATACTAGGTGAGTTCAAAGTACTATGACAAAATTTGCAGACGTATAATAGACCTCAAAAGTTATATTTATCCCACATTTTAATGTAGCAAAATGAGTATTAGAAATCGATAGAGAAACAGAAAGAGATAAAGAATACGAAAACAATATTTCACTTACTCAGAGATCTGATAAATTGATTATACAGATACGTAAGTATATTTATATTAGAAAGAAGATCTGATAAATTTGCCGATTAGATTCCTTCACATTTATTGTATTCCCTGCATTAATATCAAAACTTTACGAATGATCCACACTGGGACAGTTGATCTGAAAAAAATGATGATTTTGGAACTTGTGTTTACTGGAATTTTGTTGTTAAGGCTTCTGAGTATTCGCCGCGCCCATATTTGGTCGTGAATTAAGGTGAATTAAGGCCAACTTTCTTTTTAATTTACCTTTTTCTCATAATTTTGTCATTGTATATCTCTGCAAATTCTGTCTGATCGTAAATCTAATTTTATTCGGCTATTCATTGATTGTCAAGGGAAAAGATAGTTTTCGAAACATTTTACAAGTATGCCTAAGCAATCTCAAGTATTCTTTCATACAGATATTATTCAATTTGAAAATGATACGCAAGAATTTTGGGTATGCATTTCCTCGCTTCTAACATCATCAATTCAAAAATTTCATCAGGAATCTAAAAGATTCCTCTGTTCTCGCTGCGGCCATCTTGGCTTGTAATCTCAAAAACGAGAAAACATACATTAAATATTCTTGCAAAATACGTACGTAATACTTGCAAAATATGTACGTAATACTTGCAAAATACGTAAAAATAAAATTATGTATCCATAAAATGACACAATCCATCGAGCAGATGTGTAAGATAGTTTGAACACCTTCTCTTTACTTTAACAATCAATAAATTACCTTAAAATAAACGTCACAATCGTCACAATCGTCACAATGAGGAAAGATAGATTAAAAGGATCGATTGCGTATCACGTCAAAATTTTACGGTAATTTATTCATTATCAGAGTAAACGGAAGCGGACTGTTTTTCAGGTGTGCCCAATCGACTGCAAGTGTCGTTTTATAACTATACTTTTTTATTTCAACGTATTTTGTAGGAATTTTTCTCGTGTATTCTCACTTCTGACGTTATCAATCGAAAATTCCACGAACAAGGGACCAGGAGCCCTAATTTCAAGGCAAACGATTATCTTCTTTCTGGCAATACCTTGCCCAGTATATTCATGAACTGTGGTAAGCCGCTGCAAATTCTATCTGATCGTTATGTGAAGCAGCGACACAAACGGACCAGCACGGTCAGAATTTATTCCGCATTCTTCGTCCGTACACGAGCGATCACCCTCTCGCGGTTACACCGCAATTTACCGCATGCCCTGAACATTAACAAAGAAAGATTGCACTGAATAAAAAAGGAAAGAGCAGGAGAGGCGGAGAGAGAACTCCCCTCGGAGTTGAATTCGGTAACTCGAATCGACCAGTCTGTTTCTGTTTCGCGGCAAGCAGTGACGAGCTGCCGGTGCAACTGACGTTGCCGCGGGCGATGCGGGAGGCGAAGAACAGGCAGCAACTGTCGTCGCTCGCGTTGCTGGGCCAGGAGTTCTGGCGGTATCCCATGGCGAATCCGAAACCGCCCGCAGAAAGCAGCAGCAGCAACACGTCCAGCCTCAGCAGTTTCCACGGCGGTGAGTTCTCCCGGCCAAGCGACGCGATACGTCGAGAGGAAACAATTAACCACGGCGAATCTGATCGAGCCGCGAAAACTCCGCTCGTTATTTTTCTCCTGTCTGTTACTTCCCAATTCGCACACAATGTGTTAGGTTGCTCGTTACTGATGGAAAGAATAACGCCTTTATCGCCAAATCGTTACGGAAGGAAAAGCAATTTGTAACGGTAATGGTATCACCTTTCTTCGTCACTAACGGAAAGAAATGATGCCGTTAACAAATTGTTACCGGAGGGAAGTCATTTTTAACGGTAATAGTGTTGCGAGTAACGCGTTATTTTTCAGCTTTGCGTCCTATTTGAATTAGCGGTGTCAGTATGAAACCCTCACACAGAAAAATACATACTAGATTCAAGTAAATATTATTTGTTTCGAGTATTTTATAAGAGTTTATAAATCTACCGTAAATTCATCATAAGCATCAAATTTATTCACATATTTTCTAAATCCTAACAAATCTAGCATTTCGATCAAGAATATTAAATAAAAAATTCAGTTTGTTTGCTATATAAGGTCGAAATAACTATTTCTTCGATGAAGTTTTATATTCTTGCAAAGAAAAGAAATTTTTCTTTTGTGCACATAATGACTTTTCTAAAATTGATAATAAATAAGTTTTAAGTCTGTCAAGAAAATATTCTTTGTTGAAGATAACCATTTACTTGAGAAAAGAAAGCTAAATTACTTGAAAGAAGAAAAGTAAATTTGAAAAAAAATTTATTTTCTTAGCAGAGTAGAATGACATTTTAAGTGATTTCTATACCCGAATATATATTTAGTACTCAAATTTTGCGAGTACTGCTCAGGTCACTCGAATATTAAACAAGAATAATCCAAGTATTCGAAATTGGTGCTGACAATATAACCTGGGTATTTACACCTAGGTAGCATCTCAATACCCAAACTCACCAGCATTAGCCAGTTCGTTAAACTCGCAAATACCACTAAGTTACTACCAGTTACACACACATACATGCGTATAATGTGCAAATTAACCCGATAGCCAGGTAACACAAAGAAGACTCGAAAACCCAACTAATACTCGAGGTACGCGAATACCTAAAATTAACTATTTGAAACCACAAACTATATTAGTATTCGAGCAAATACCCATCTGTCATCGATTATTAATTTCTGCAATATTTGATTTCACATCGCCCGATCTTGTTTCTTGTAAAGTACTACCTATATTTATACTCGAATAACTGACTAATTTGCATATTAATCGAGTATCCAGTACTCAAATACACAAATATTATCGTAAATTACTCGATTACTACTCTAAAAGTACCCAAAAAGTACAGATACGCGAAACCAAAAATCGCAGTTAGTATAAAAAAAATACTCTTTGTCATCTGTTATTAATTTCCGCAACAGCTGATTTCACATTAGATAATTTTGTCCTTTATTTTTCTAAATTACTACTTATATTGATCTATATTGACTAATCTCTATTGATCTACTCAGAAATACTATTTCTCCTATTATTCTAAGATATTATTTTCTACATTAACATTATCTACACTAATCACGTGGCACTCGAAGGTCCAAGTAACTTACAAATTAATCGGTCGCCAAGATATTTAGAAAGTATTCGAAGAACTCGAGTATCCCAGTGGTACTCTGCCACTCGAATATTGACACCACTAATTCAAGGTAAAAGTTAACAAATTCTCAGATTCTCGATTACAGCGCGAGTCACGCCGTTTAGTTCTGTTCGCACGCGAGAGTACTTATTGCGCGTATTCTCTCCTCGCAGGTAACAATAACCATCATCATAGCAGCAACAACAATAATGCCGACACACCGACCACGGAGAGCATAGTGCTGAATCTCGCGCCGATATCATCCCACGATACGCGTAAGTGAGACATTGACTACCTCGCTTCACTATTCTTACTGCTGTACTGCTTCACACAGTGGCTGTTGCACCGATAGGCGGTTACTTCACGACTCGACGTAATTAATAGTTACACTATCTCTCTATCTCTCTATAATGTCCGTACCATACGAATACCACATCAAGAATAGAATAGTCTTTACAGAATTCTCATATAATCTCATCATTTTTATGGGATAGTATTATTTGCAACAATAAAACGGAGAAAGGCTAGGGTGCAAAATTAAAACAGACTAAAAATGGGAATAAAGAATTGATGAGGCGGCGAGAGCAAAGATCAAAATTTTCTTCGAAAAAAATCGTAAACATCAGTCCGGACTTCATTCTCTCAAATTTGACAAATTACGTACAATATCTACGTGTATTTGACATACACTAGTCTACAAAAAAAACTTTCTATCAAATAGACCAAATTGTGTGATCCATATAGTATTTTTTACATTATTTTTACTGAATTAAAAAATGCAAACAGATTTTTTCTATCACCCAGAATTTTCCAGTGATTTTCAAATTCCAAGAAAATTTATTTTCATCTAAATAAATACAGACATGGCTTGCCAAATTTAAAATGTAAAAACTCATAATTTTCTGCTGTGTCTGACTTGTAGCATGTTTCTTTTAAAAATAAAAAAATATTCTATAAATTTTAATCTTGTGTCTAATTAGAGAAAAATCTTTATTTTTAATGAATTTTTATAGATAAATATATTGCTTAAATGGAAGAACTTTTTATGGAAAAGGTACTTGATTATTGACAGTACTTTAAATATAAAAAATTAAAAACTAAATCAAATCACGAATGGCATGGAATGTCCTAATATATATATACATATACATATACATATGTATGTGTATATATATATATATATATATAAAGTCTCGAATGATTGTTAAAAAAGAAAAATTGTTAGTTCATTTTTCGGATTATGCACGTAAAAATACACAAGAAACACATATATACGCAAAAACTTCATGTGGCGAATTATCTGTTGACTTGCGTTATCACACTTAAATTGCAAAATCATTTCTATAAATCAAAAATAAAAACTTTTCTTCCTGTTTACAAATTTTTTTACTCGGTCACCGATTATCGAACGCTCAGTGCGCCTTCTTCTTGCGCGCACGAGCCACATCTATATCTGAAATTTCTTAAAGTCCGGCCGAATAAATTCCTCGTCAAGCATCTCCGCGTCTGAAAATTCGGCCGCGAAAATAATCCGTCAGCAGACGGGCGTTACATATTCCCGCCGGAATGCAGGCACCTCTTCACCGACCACCAACACCATGACGGCGTCCACGTTCGCCGCGTGGTCGTTGCCGCGTCAACCGCGACCCACTCCGCCCAACACCCTGAACCTGACGACCTTCAACGAGCCGTTGGACACGCGGAGGGAGCAGCGGGTGCCGTCGTCGCCTTGCGACAAGCTGTCGCAGCGGCTGATCTCGCCGAATCTGGTGCAGAGCGTGCGATGCCCGTCGCCAGTGGTGCATAACGTGGAGAGCAACGTGCTGAGCCCGGCGCAGGACTCGAAGAGCGGCAGCTTCGACACCCTGAAGAACGGCGCGGAGTTCGCCAATAGGAGCGGCGGCAAGACCTTCTCGAGCGCGTCCACGTCGAGCACGAGTGTGCATCATCATCATCATCAGAGCCAGAGCCTGTCGTGCACGACGTCGCCCGTGCTGTCGTCCGACATCAGGAACATCGTCGCCGAGAATCATCAGGGCGCGACGCAGGGCAAGACACCGCCGCCGCCGCCACCGAGATGGGCGAAGCCGGGTTTCAGTCAGAGTCAGAGTAACTTCACGGTGACTACCACGGTGACGTTCAATGTGAATCAGACGACCAGCGACGTGAACACCTCGCAGGTAACGATCAGACGGGGCGACACGGTCCCGTTCGGATTGGCCGCGTGAGAGCTCGATTAAACTTATCTCGTTTAATTATCGAAAACGATCGACTTCCTCTTCGAGCAGCCGACTATCGGCTGGAAATCTATTTGGTGAAAATCCCTCCTTCCCCTCTTATTTCGGATAATCGACACGCCCGATGTATCTCAATTTTATATCACATCACTCACCGTGAACTTTATACATATAAAGCCCTATCAGAAAGTTACGCCAAGTTAAGTGGATTTCTTGCAAAGACAGCAACATTAAAATGTTCAAAAGGAAATAATTGCGTATCAAGAGCAATGTTTCAACCACCAAAAACTCGCGCTCTTAGACAAATACTAAATATTTTGGTTCTTTTCGAAGCAATAATAACTCCGAAGAAAATCAAAATCCAAAAACGATAATTATGCAGCATAACGGACCACCCTCTGATTACCTTGACCTTGACATATGTTGTAGAGGTCACCCTCCTGAATAACTCTCAGAAGGTTTTAGCCGTCGCTGATTGTTTGTTAAAAAGTTATTGATGAAAGAAGTTCGAAAAATATATTACAATTTTTCGATACTGTGTACCGTTAACGAGCAATATCAAATAATAACTGCAATATGATAAGCCAGTATACGACAATCTTTCGTATAGTTACCGTTCGACTGCTGAAAAATGAAATTCTATGAATTTCTCGCATTAACGACGAGAAGTATCGAGTTGTTAAATTATTTGTGCGTAAAAAATGTTGTACGTGAAAAAATAATGTGTCCACGTTGCGAAAATGTTGTTAAATTTAATACAGAAGAATCATTAATTATTCATTGTACCCAACATTATTACAAACAAATTAAAGGTCGAACGACTAGTGAGAGGCTGCGCCCCCCGCACTCTTTCTAAAAACTAACCTAACCCAACCTATCGTTACATCAAGCATTAGTCATTGTTTATTAAAATGTTCAACTTTTGTATTAATGTGACGATAGGTTGGGTTAGTTTGGAGGGGGGGGGGGGGG